AAAAGTGGGTTTAAATGTTCACAGATATAATATAGACTTCCTAATTTTTCCACTTTTACAAGTTGTAGTAGTTGCTTAAATGATTGCATTTTATTGATTTATTTTTTAACTTTTTTCATCTGGATCACAAAAGGATAGCATTTTAAATACTTTAATTCTGTCTTGTAACTTAAGGCAGCAGCTCAGTGCTATATTGACCTGATTATTAAAGAAAGTGACAACAATGTGAAACTGATTGTTCTGGATCGCTTGATTGAACTCAAGGATCACCCTTCCCATGAAAGAGTACTACAAGTAAGTACAATAAACTACATTTGTCTCCCTAAATTTAAAGTAATTAATTCTGTACAAAATTTCACTGAATTTTCTCAGGCTGATTCATGAATGCCTATGAATGAAATGTCGTTTATTTCAGGATTTGGTTATGGACATACTGAGAGTTTTAAGTACTCCTGATCTGGAAGTTCGCAAAAAGACATTACAATTGGCACTTGATCTTGTATCTTCCAGAAATGTAGAAGAGGTAAAATAAAATGTTACTCTACCAATATACTTGGAAATATATAGACTCTTATTTTAATGCTGTAAAATTAATATTGTACAGAATTGCATAATACACAATTAATAGTATTGTTTTGTCACTAGTTGGTGATTGTTTTGAAGAAAGAAGTCATTAAAACAAATAATGTGACTGAACACGAAGACACTGATAAATACAGACAGTTGCTTGTTCGGACTTTACATTCTTGTAGTGTTCGGTTCCCAGAAATGGCTGCAAATGTCATTCCTGTGGTATGTAAATCAACTTTGTTTTCATTGCTCTGCAATAGTTGTTATTGTTAACTTACGGGGTTATCAGCTTACTTTAGACAAAATCATTATTCATCCCTAATTCACATTTCCTTTACATTGCTTCCTTAATTAACTGTTTATCTTTGAGACCCGTGTTACTTACATAGTATTTCTTTATTTGAGAAGTAATGTTTAGTCACTATCCAGTGCCTAGTGCTTGCTGCATCCAGCCCCAGAATTGGTTTAATTGGTGAGTTTAATTTGTAGATTTTTTTTTAATAATAACTTTTCATTTCATTGAAAATAGTGGAGAACAGTCACCTTTTGACTTTAGCCAGATTTAGTCAAAAAGCTGATCCAAAAGTAGGCAAGCTAGATTCTGGGTCCAGAGTTACTTCTAACCCAATCTTAACCTCTTATACCATTCTCATTTACTTTCATTGGGGTTAGGAAAATTCTGTATTCATTTTTCTGAGCTGAATGTTAAAGAACTGAGCTTTACAATGTTATTAACAATCAGCTTGCTAGATTCATGCTAGTTAATCTACTTTTCAAACTCTGATCTCTAGTTTTCTAGATTAAAATGGGATTGAATAGTTTGTAGTTCAGCCTGGCAAGGCTGTTCTCTCTCCCTCCCTCCCTCCCTCCCTCCCTCCCTCCCTCCCTTCCCCTCCTCTCTCTCTCTCTCTCTCTCTCTCTCTCTCTCTCTCTCTCTCTCTCTCATACATACACACACACACACTATATTTCTTTTTATGGAATTGTATTAAGAATTTTCTGTTTACAGAAATATGTCACTTTCATTTAAGTGTTCATAATTTAGCTTTACTGGGTCATGACCTACATTCCAGGCAAATCTATTTCATGTATGTTATATTGATTAAAAAATGAACTGTGCCACAGCTATTATCATTTAGATACACATCTTTTGCTAAGCTGAAGGCCATCCATTCTGCATTCCCTATCTACATATTAAGATATCTCTAATTTATTAGTGGAATGTACTAAGGTGCTAATAAATCATACCCAAATGCCTTTTGTCATGTAAATTGTCATGTCAAAAACAGTTGAACATAAATGCTTTTAAACTGGCAGTCTTTCCCATTCTTAACCTTGCATTTGCCAAAACTTAAGCAATTAATCTTTTGTGTCATCCCATGATTTTACACAATAGTCCAGGCAAAGATGTAAGATATTAAATCACCAAATTCCATAAGATTTCAGTAGTGTTTAATTTAATGTGGGGGGAGTTGGTGCTGGCATACATAGTCGGGTACCATCTTGCTGTATCTGGTATTAGCCAGTGGTACAGTAGTTTGTTCCAAATTTTGTAGTGCTCATGTTCATACTTACCCTTCTAGTTGATGGAGTTCTTAAGTGACTACAATGAAGCGGCAGCTGCAGATGTGTTGGAGTTTGTGCGTGAAGCTATTCAGCGTTTTGATAATCTCAGGCTGCTAATTGTAGAGAAAATGTTGGACGTCTTCCATGCAATTAAGTCTGTCAAGTAAGTTTAAGATCTGCCTTGAAAATTCACTAACTGAATTTCAGTGTGGATTACTTTTAAGACTTTGTGTTTGTAATACCGTCAGCACCGCTGAAAGAATCCATATACAAATGACTTTGGATACGTTTCTTGCAGTAGGAATGGATTTTTATTGCTGAAGATTTATTTTTTCTCTGGATGCATTTAAAATTCCATTTTGATGTGTACATAAAACTTGCCAGATCTAAATATGATCCTTAAAGAAACCTGCATTGCAGTTCTCTTAATGCCTACTGAAAATATCTCATTGTGTTTACTTGGCTGTGTTCCCAGGATTGTAGCCTTTGTTACATCACTTTTATCATAGAATTGCATTAAATACTTTCTTAAAGCAATCTGAAGCACAGGTGACTGTTTCTAAGTAAAATATGTGTAGATTAACTTTCAAGGATTTTCAAGTTTCATTCTTTTGTGTAAACTGGCCCATTTCTAGCCCACAGAATTTTTACAAAGGCAATGTCCAATAGGGCATTTAAAAATATATTTATATCTATCTATATCTATATCTATCTATATATCTATGTATATGTGAGTGAAATCCAGTAATTTATATATTCTGTTTCAAGAAGAATATGAAGCCTAATTAATAAACTATAATTTGTATTAAAGGTCCCTCAAAGGTGCAGTGGTATATATCAGGGGTAGGCAACCTTGGCTCTTTTATGACTCATGGACTTCAACTCCCAGAATTCCTGAGCCAGCATAGAATTCCAGGAATTGAAGTCTACGAGTCATAAAAGAGCCAAGGTTGCCTACCCATGGTATATATTGTACATGTACTGAGAGAAGGTCTCAGACAATTTGTCAGAATACTTGTTAGGACTGTGCTATCAGTTAATTTTTGTGGTTAGTTGCAGAAAGTCCATTCCTGCGACATTTCCTCTCCTACCTGTCAAAATCGTCTCTGCACTGGCAGCCCTCCCTTTGGAGTGCTTTCTTTTACTTAGACCCAAGCATCCATCTGTGACTTTCACGCAACTCACTGTATTGGTAGAAAGAAGTTTGGTGACAGGGAGAAATCGAGAAGAAGAGTTATTTTGCTGATCTTCTGCTTTTTCTGTACATACTTGACGCTCACGCTTGATAATCGGTGGAGTAGAAAAGGGCATTTCTTGAAAGGAACCTGCACCCATCTTTAAATTTATGATTTACTTTCTTTGATCTGGGATAAGTTGGTGGCTCTGTGTAAATTCTTTACAAAAAGAATTCTCATAAATAACCTGGCTGACTATAGGTAGTCCTCGCCTTACAACCATTCCTTTGAAGTTACAAGGGTGTGACTTAGGACCGTTTTTCACATGGCCATTGCAGCATTCATCCACGGTCATGTGATCAGAATTTGGATGCTTGGTAACTGACATGTATTTATGATGGTTGCAATGTCCCCGAGTCATGTGAACGTTTTTTGCAGCCTTGACAAGAAAAATCAATGGAAAGTCAGATTCTCTTAATATTAAAATATTAAAGAGCCGTGGTGGCGCAGTGGTTAGAATGCAGTATTGCAGCTAATTTTGCTGACTGCCAACTGCCAGCAGTTCGGCAGTTTGATCGTGACTGGCTTAACCTTGACTCAGCCTTCCGTCCTTCCAAAGTCGATAAAATGAGGACCCAGATTGTTGGAGGCCATAGGCCAGTGTTTCCCAAACTTGACAATTTTAAGGCATGAGGACTTCAACTCCCAGAATTCCACAGCCAGCAACGCTGGCTGTGGAATTCTGGGAGTTGAAGTCCACATGCCTTAAAATTGTCAAGTTTGGGAAACACTGCCATAGGCTGACTCTGTAAAACTGCTTATAAAGGGCTGTAAAGCATTACAAAGCGGTATGTAAGTCTTATTGCTGTTCCTTTGCTGACTTAAAAATTGCAGTGATTCACTTAACAACTGTGGCAAGAAAAGTCACTTAACAACTGTCTTGCCTAGTAACAGAAATTTGGTCAATTTAGGATTACCTGTAGTTTGGTTTATTTTGCTTTGCTTTACAGAATTTATCGGGGAGCACTTTGGATCCTTGGCGAATACTGCAGCACAAAGGAAGATATACAGAGCGTAATGACAGAGGTCCGTAGATCATTGGGAGAGGTATGTGTTTGCATTTTTGTCAATTGGAAATATTTTCCCAAGTTGATATACAGTATTTTAGAGGGAAAACATAGTCTTTGAAAAATCCTATCGAATCTTGAAACTGGTTCTTCATTTCTTGAGGATGCATTTAGGAATTCTTTAAATGAAAACCTATGTAATAGTATCCACAATTTCTGATAGAGTAACTGAACAGAGTTTCATTACGTTGAAGTAATTGATCATTTCATTGATGGGTCATGAAACTAATGGCAACCTTTTGATAGAAATTTAATTAATATGGGCCTTCTTATAAAAAGGATTGATTAACTGGGAGGCATTTGTGATAATGGAGTGTATCTGCCAACCTTCAGCTCCCAGTGGAAACAATTCTTTTCTGCCCTCATTTTAATTGAGAATCCTCAAAAGCAGTATTGGGGAAATATAGAGCAAAGACAACTTCCATCTTTGCAAAGCAACTCAGATAACATTGAGTTTATAGATTTAAAAGAAATTCAGAAAATTCTAATGATATCCAAGATCAAATCCAAATTGTCCTTCTCCCAAAATCTTTTGATCAAACAGTTTTGTGTAATAATGAAAAGATAACTTTACCTTGAATGAAATAAATCTACATAAGTCTACAAATATTGCAATCTTGTAAATACTAATAGGAACAGAAGCAATACTCTGCTAGATTGGATCCCTGTCCTAAATACTCCAGCAGTCTATTCTTACAGTGGCCAAACAACTGCACAAGGAAGCTCATTAGTCTTCCAGCAGATGGTCTTCACTGCCATGAAGACTGATAGCCATCGGTCCCCATGACTACCACAAACTTGCTCTTTTGAATCCAAGTTGGAATTTACAACCATTTGTTATTGCAAAATACATAATGCATACAGCAGGAGTAAGATTATTAGTAATGAAATCTCCTAAGCTTATAACCTATTTCCCATCTTTTTATTGTAATGTATTTATCCTACTGCTTGAAATACCTTTATTACAGCTAGAAGTCAAATGTAAACAAAACATACATATGTACGTATGCATATGTGTGCGTATACACACTTTATGTATTTGTACGTACATGTGCATGCTTGGATCAGTTTTGACTCCTTATAAGAAAAGATGGATGGTATATTTGAAAGCACAAAATTGAGCAATCTGGATCTAGGTATATGTAGGGGTGTGGGTCTATACATATGTTGTACATAGTATGTTTTAGGTCTGTGTCATGTATGTGTTTCATTTTGAGAGCAGGCAACTAAATTTCATTTTTGATGTGTGCCGTTGTGCCCACAGTAAAAAAATGACAATAAAGGTTTATCTATCTATCTGTCTATCTATCTATCTATCTATCTATCTATCTATCTATCTATCTATCTATCTATCATCTTACTCAGACAAAAGAAGCAAACCAAATACATGTTGGAACCACAAGGAAAGCTCTAGTCAATTCAGATTGAGTAGCTTCAAGAATATTAAGCCCGAAAAGACAAGGAGTGAGAGTAGGAGAGCAAGTTTGTATTTTTAACAACTTTACTCCTACTGCTCCTTTTTTACGTTCAGATCCCGATAGTAGAATCTGAAATCAAGAAAGAAGCTGGCGAGCTGAAACCTGAGGAGGAAATCACCGTGGGTCCTGTCCAAAAGCTGGTAACTGAAATGGGAACTTATGCTACACAGAGTGCCCTTAGTAGCTCCAGACCTGCCAAAAAGGAAGAAGAAAGGTGATTAAGTTTTTGCTGTTCTTAGAATGATTTGTACAAACATACATATATGTTTTTTCTTATAATTGCACAAATTGCTGAATGTGATTTTTATTTTTATCTTTCATAATATCTCTTTGGTACTTTTTTTGAATTTCTGGTTTGGACTTCAGAATGTAATGATAATAATTTATTATAATAACAGTTATTTGAAAGGACTGCAATATATATATATATATATATATATATATATATATATATATACACATATACATATACATATACATATACATATATATATATATGATTAAAAAGGTTAAAAATATGAACCCTGGGAATATTCATAGTGAAGATATAAAATGAACACCAGGGTAATAAAAACTGTAAAAGTTTTTAATAAATTAAAACTATAAAAGTTTTAAAAAGCGCCAAGCTTTCGCCGTCACCTGCCGGCATCCTCAGGGCTGGCGCGCCAGAGAATGAGAAGGTCTTTTTATAGGCGTGTCGAGGTCTGCGCCCGGCTCCTCGATCTTGTCATCGGGCCTAATTGGTTCAGCTGTGTGCAATTAACCTGTACTTCTTTTCTCTTTTTGGTTGCATTTTTATCTTCATCCATCTCCAACTCTCCCAACTCCGAATTAACTAGATGGCAATTCCAGTTATTTCGGTTGCCTTTATATTCTAACCTCCCCTCAGGCTCAGGTGGTAGTGCACATTCTACAGTCCTTTCTCCACCATATCTTGTCCGGTTGTTACTTCTAGGATCGCGTTCATTTCCGGTCTCAATACTTTCGTTTTTAATGTGTCCGTCATCCTGATGATCTCGTAAATTGCCACGGGTCCGGTGCAGCGTGGGGGGGGTGTTCCGCAAGGTGGAGGGATCGTCTCTTGTCCGTTATCATGCCCAGCTGTCTTGCGCGTGTCCTACTCCGAGTACTCGGTCCAGGGGGTATGTGCATAGCGGTCAAGCCGCGTCCCTCCTGGTTGCAGCGCTCTTCCTCAGTTCTCCCCTTTTTTACATTATTAAAAGCATTCGCGTGTATTCTATGGGAGTCCTCAGGATCGTCAGATAGGGGGTGTAACGGCTCGATCGTCCGCACCTTGCCGCTCTCCGATCTTCCCTCCTCCTCCATAGCGGCGTGCGAGAGTTCTTCATCAACCACCTCCCGGGGTTTGTCTTCATTAGAGCTGATCGTTCCGGCTGCATGGGGGGTTCTTCTCCTCCTTTCCGGACCAGCCATGATGTTTCTTTTGATGTATGGGCAGGCCGTTGCATTTAGCGATTCACCCGCACTTCCACCTGTCGTATCTTCCCTCGTCTCCTCTTTACTGTCAGGGGACCGGATCTTGGTTTTTATCACCCCCCTAATCCTCTGGGATTGCAGCAGTCTCACGGGGGTGGTCGGAGTATCTCGTGATTGCTTTCCTTCCTCCAAATTGCACATGGTTTGTTGGATAGTTCGGGTGCTGCCCAAGTTATTGGGCCATCGAAGGCGTTGCCGCTGATTATTGGCACTCCATGATCTTAAGGCCAAATAGGACGGACATAGGTCAATATGCCTGTTAATGGACTTACTGTCCGAGAGCCATGCCTCTCTAAGAAGGCGGCCCCCTTTGGTACTATCATTTGCCAATACACTGACGCCACTAAAATTAAACCTGTGGCCCAGATCCACCGTGTGGGCCCATATTTGGGAGTGACAATCCCTCCTTCTCACTGCCAATTCGTGCTCATGGACCCTGGTCTTAATGCGTTTAGCAGTCTCCCCAATATAATTGCATTGGCAGTCCATACAGTCAATCCTATAGACGGCTGCCGATCTTTCGATGCTGGGGAGCGGGTCCTTAGGGCGCATTATTGACGCCCGCAGTGTTTGGTTGGGTCTATGGGCCACCTGTATTTTATATGGTGCCAGGATCCTAGCTGTGGCTTCTGATACATTATGGATATAGGGGAGGGCAATGCGTGTGGTGGCTTGAGGCATGGATTCTTGAGATGCAGGGTTACTCTGGAGTCCAGGTGGTTTCCTGAACTGGTTAATAAGTTTTACCGGGTAGCCGTTACGTCTACATATTTGGAAGAGGTGGTTTCTCTCTTCCTTTTTAGCTCTGACGGTGCTGCAATGTGTCTCCACACGTTTGAATAGCGTCCTGACACAACTGGCTTTATGGGCCATCGGATGATTGCTCCCAAAGTGGAGAATCCTGTCAGTACATGTTGGTTTTCGGTATACCCTGGTGGCTAGACAGCCATCCACCTGGCGCTGCACTAATACATCCAAAAATGCCAAATTGCCCTGATCTTCCTCCTCCATGGTGAATTGGATGTCCGGGTATACCGAATTCAGGACGCCCATAAAGTCAGTTTTGTGTCGTTTCTTAATGACCGCAAACGTATCGTCCACATAGCGGGCCCAAAATTTTGGTCGATGCTGGGCCATCGCTATGTGTTCTAGCTGTTGGAGTACCATCTCTGCAACCACACTGGAGATCGGCGACCCCATAGGTGTTCCTTTGATTTGCTCATATATAACACCCTGAAAGGTGAAATAGGTGTTAAGGCATATTTCCATCAGCTTTACAAGGTCCTCCGTTTGAAGGGAGTCCTGATGTTGCCCATGGTCTCCTTGATTAAGCCGGTCTCTTAGGACCGCAACCGCAAGTTCTTGCGGGATGGAAGTGAATAGGGAAACTACATCAAAGGAGACCATGAGCTCATCCTCTTCCACCTTCAGGGTTTTAATTCTGTTGAGGAATTCTTCTGCAGATCTTACGGTGGTGTCGCTGTTACTTGCCAAGTGGCCAATGCGTACGCTCAGCCACTTGGCAAGTTCAGAGATGGGGGTACCCCTAAATGCTACAATGGGGCGGAGGGGGACATTGGGCTTATGTATCTTAGGTAAGCCATAAAATCTGGCGAGTGCTGAGTCACCAGGGCGGATCTTTCTTAACACTTCTTCCCCTATCCTCCCCTTACGTTTTAGGTCATCCAGGAGCTTGTTAGTACGGTTTCTCAATGTGGTGGAGGGATCTTTACTAACCACTCTATAGGCAGCACCGTCTTGGAGTAAATCCAATGCCTTTCTTACATATGCCTCTTTGTCTAAAACAACAGTTGCCCTCCCCTTATCGGCTGGGAGGATGACAATGATGTCATCTTTTCTAAGTTGGCTTAGAGCCACCCTTTCCTCTGCCGATAACATTTGTTGGCGTCTGTGGCTCATGATTAGGCTCGTGACCTGTTGCCTGATTATATTCTTGGCTTCTTCTCCTGTCCCAGTGTGGTGTAGGGCGGGCTCTAATGCTGCCACAAAATCCAGTGTGTCCGCATCATTAAGGTTGTGTCCTATATCTCGTTGCAACACGGATAATTGCGGCTGGCTCAGCACCCTTGAGGATAAATTGTGCACCACCCCCGGTAAATTGTTATTACAAGACTCACGTAATAAATTCAGCCTTTTTAGAAACGTTCTTGTCATATGCTGAGTCACCCGGGCCATGACTTGCCGGATATGTTGGTTTAGCATCCTAAAATGCTGGTGGTTTAATTCTATACTGCAAGAGTCTCGATAGCCTTGAATATACCTCTTTAAGTTGACTATTCTTCTGTGTTGGTCATTAATTAACGCGTATAATGTGCGTCGTTGGAATTGACGGACGGCTTGCCAGCATTCCAGGGAGTCCACGGTTGGTTTTCTTCTTAACGAGTTCGGTATTAGGTTCTCCTTGATGCAGCGATGAAGGAACGCCAGCTTACAATAATTAGTTGAGACACGCCGTGCTGTCCTTTCCCATTTTCTGGCTCTGAGCAAAGCTGCTCTACTATATATACGATTAAAAAGGTTAAAAATATGAACCCTGGGAATATTCATAGTGAAGATATAAAATGAACACCAGGGTAATAAAAACTGTAAAATTTTTTAATAAATTAAAACTATAAAAGTTTTAAAAAGCGCCAAGCTTTCGCCGTCACCTGCCGGCATCCTCAGGGCTGGCGCGCCAGAGAATGAGAAGGTCTTTTTATAGGCGTGTCGAGGTCTGCGCCCGGCTCCTCGATCTTGTCATCGGGCCTAATTGGTTCAGCTGTGTGCAATTAACCTGTACTTCTTTTCTCTTTTTGGTTGCATTTTTATCTTCATCCGTCTCCAACTCTCCCAACTCCGAATTAGCTAGATGGCAATTCCAGTTATTTCGGTTGCCTTTATATTCTAACCTCCCCTCAGGCTCAGGTGGTAGTGCACATTCTACATTCCTTTCTCCACCATATCTTGTCCGGTTGTTACTTCTAGGATCGCGTTCATTTCCGGTCTCAATACTTTCGTTTTTAATGTGTCCGTCATCCTGATGATCTCGTAAATTGCCACGGGTCCGGTGCAGCGTGGGGGGGTGTTCCGCAAGGTGGAGGGATCGTCTCTTGTCCGTTATCATGCCCAGCTGTCTTGCGCGTGTCCTACTCCGAGTACTTGGTCCAGGGGGTGTGTGCACAGCGGTCAAGCCGCGTCCCTCCTGGTTGCAGCGCTCTTCCTCAGTTCTCCCCTTTTTTACGTTATTAAAAGCATTCGCGTGTATTCTATGGGAGTCCTCAGGATCGTCAGGTAGGGGGTGTAACGGCTCGATCTTCCGCACCTTGCCGCTCTCCGATCTTCCCTCCTCCTCCATAGCGGCGTGCGAGAGTTCTTCATCAACCACCTCCCGTGGTTTGTCTTCATTAGAGCTGATCGTTCCGGCTGCATGGGGGGTTCTTCTCCTCCTTTCCGGACCAGCCATGATGTTTCTTTTGATGTATGGGCAGGCCGTTGCGTTTAGCGATTCACCCGCACTTCCACCTGTCGTATCTTCCCTCGTCTCCTCTTTACTGTCAGGGGTCCGGATCTTGGTTTTTATCACCCCCCTAATCCTCTGGGATTGCAGCAGTCTCACGGGGGTGGTCGAGTATCTCGCGATTGCTTTCCTTCCTCCAAATTGCACATGGTTTGTTGGATAGTTCGGGTGCTGCCCAAGTTGTTATTGGGCCATCGAGGGCGTTGCCGCTGATTATTGGCA